TGGGGATACAGATTTAGATCACGAGTGTGTGTTTGTGGATGTGTTTGGAGCATGCTTGTGCAGAGACATTTGCCCTACATACATGTGTATATTGCTCATGTACCTTGGATAGAGGCAGTCTGCTGGGCAAGTTTACCCCTTCTTTAGCCAGAAGCTTCTTCTCATCCTCATTAAGTACAAGCTCCCGCAAGGAATGCTGGGGGATTCGCTGCGCCTGTGAACCAGATGGACAGAATTCATTTCACTTAAAGTTACTCTATTTGCAGCTTTCCCCAAGAAGGCACAGGCAGATAGTAAAATTCTCTTTCAGTCAGAGTTGGACAGGACACCACACATATTTTAAGTTTCAACACAATTATGAAACCCTTCTTACTTTGTCTCCCAGGTTGGATAACAGCAGGTCCTTCACGGTGAGAGAATGGCTGGGTGGTTGCAAAGGATTTTGGTTTGTGGTGAGGTAGTATGAAATTCCGATATCCTCCTCTAAGCTGCCAGACTCACAGCCTGCATATTAAAGCAGAAAAAACAGTACACCACATGTCATGGTTTACAAAATTGCTTGTATTTGCAGTTCAAACAAAACCCACCACAAAACGTCAGTCATTGCAGCATCTTTCTGTGCTTTAAAAACACTTTGCAAACACACAATGCTGCACAGGTTTTTAGGCATTTTAGACACTTGGATTCCTGTCCATCCTGTGGCACCAACAGGGAGGAGACTGATCATGCCTGCACCAATTATGCACCAGATGGCACAGTCCCCATCAAGCTCTTGTCTCATGGAGTCAGTCTGGGAGAGACTAAAGATGTCGAGATAGCCAAAATCTACAAAAGCCACCTGAAGCAAGCAACCAGCCAAGTACCTTGAAAACTTGGTCACACAAAATATTGGCTTGATTTGGAGTATGTATCTTTACTTTAATATTAGTGACATCAGGACATTGTCTTGTAATTATATAAAAAAAAATTGTGAGAAAGTTTTAAGGTAGCCAGTTAACCTAGGCTGAAGAACGTGTGATTTTTATATTGTCAGCTTTTCACAATTAATCAAACCTGATATGCCACTTTTAAAACAAATACACAGTGTCCCAACTCCATTTACTGAAAGACTCACTCTCTTAATTTCCAGCTAGTTATACATAAATTGCTCTTAGTGCTCATTTGGAAAGCACAACTACAGCGCATTGTGTTTTGTTTCCTAAATACAACTTGAAATTGTTCGCTCTTGTTAACACACAGATGCCAGTTCATAGTGCACAAAAGTGTACAAGCATTTGTAAGAAGAGGAAAACAGCAATTTCAGATGATTGCGATAGGCCATGTTCTTGTTCACAGAAAGTCAATTTGAAAAACAAAAATAGAAAATAGCATCAGAACTTTCCATTTTTTCCGAAAGTAAATGTTTACATGTATTAAAGTATTACAGATATATGTGCTTTACATAGTAAATTCAGTAGATTCTATGATGTTTTTATATTCTTAAAGTTACTAATAGAGTACTGAATGGACAGGCTCTAGATAATTTATGTCTGCTTCTTATTAAACACACTCCTAATCGTAGTCTTCAGTTGTAGGCTCTGAATATAATGGTTGTTCCTTGTACAAGACTCAGGACTGACAGAGCATTTCAGTCTGTGGCACCTAGAATATGGAATATTCTCCCACTCCAGCTTTGTTTAGCTCTCTGTGGGCTCCTTTAAAAAGGATTGTTTTGCTTGTTTCTGTTTTAAT